GGCAGATCGTGATGCAAGCCTGTTTGAGGAGGTGGGATTCTTTATCAGAAGACATTTTTGCACCCAGATTAGTGGCACCTTTTTCCAGAAAATTCCTTGCATGTTCAGGGAAGGACATGCTTAGATATCCCTTCCCTATCTCTTTTGGTGGGTTGACCTTGGCTGGATGCCAGATGCCCACCAAAGTAACTATCACTCCCCTCCTCAGATCAATGGGGGAGAAAACATACAAAGAAAGGCTCGTGGTCAAGGTAAGGGCAGGGAGAGATCACTCACCAGTTGCCATCACAGGCAAAACAGACTTGACTTGGGGAAAATTAATTTATTGCCAGCCAAATCCGAGTAGGATAAAGAGAAATAAAGCCAAATCTTTAAAACACCTCCCTCCCCCCACCCCTTCTGCCTCCTAGACATAATTTTACTCTTGATTTTCTCTACCTCCTTGTTCCAGCATCACAGGGGGACAGGGAAAGGGGGTTGTAATCAGTTCATCACCCATAGTGTCTCCAGCTCCTTCCTCCTTAAGGGGAGGACTCCTTACACTCTTTCCCTGCTCCGGCATAGGGATCCTCCCATGGGAGACAGCCTTCCATGAACCTTGTCTAACGTGGGTCCTTCCCATGGGCTGCAGTTCTTCATGAACTTCTCCAGCATGAGTCCCTTCCACGGGGTGCAGTCCTTCAGGAACAGATGGCTTCAGTGTGGGTCCCCTGTGGGATCAGAAGTCCTACCAGCAAACCTGCTCCAGTGTGGGCTCCTCCCTCCACGGGTCTGCAGGTCCTGCCAGGAGCCTGCTCCAGCGCAGGCTTCCCACGGGGTCCCAGTCACCTTCAGGCATCTCTCCATGGGCTGCAGGTGTACACCTGCTCCACCATGGACCTCCATGGGCTGCAAGGGGACAGCCTGCCTCAGCCAGGTCTTCACCATGGGCTGCAGGGAAGCATAAAGCACCTCCTCCCTCTCCCTCTTCACCGACCTTGGTGTCTGCAGTGTTGCTTCTCTCACATGTTCTCACTCCTCTCTTTTCTGACTGCAACTGCCCTTGCACAAGAACTTTGCCGCTTCTTAAATCTGTTATCCCAGAGATGTTACCACCATCACTGATGGACTTGGCCTTGGCCAGTGGCAGGTCCATCTTCAAGCCAACTGGCACTGACTCTATCAGACACAGTGGAAGCTTCTAGCAGCTTCTCACAGAAGACATCCCTGTAGCACCCTTGCTACCAAAACCTTGCCACACAAACCCAACTCACCTCTTAACTGAAAAGGTGGATTAGTCTCATTCCTGTAACAATGCTATTTTTGCCAAGCAAGGTGGTTAGCCTTTTACTCAGATTTGTCTTTGGGGATATGACTAGCAACCATACTAACACACAGGAAGGTTTGTGCTTAAGCTTCACATATAAAGCACAACAGACTACCGTATAATGAGAAAAAAACCACAAACAAAACAAAACAAATCAACAAACATCCACCTCACAAATGCAGTAACTGTCTCTAAGTTACTGTTTCTAAGCTTTTGCTTTTCTTAAGGGTCTCAGAATATTCAAATTTAGTTAAGAGAAGCTTCTGTTTTTTCTTCTTGTACCTTATTTACAGCTCCAACTAAATTTAGGCCCTCTCCTTTTATTGATAAATGCTAATTTTTTTTCAATCCCAAACCATCAGGGTACCTGTCCCAGTCTGAGAGCAGCCTGGCTGCCATCCAAAAAGCTGGTCTGCATTACTGCCCATTATGCTAGTTTTGTCTCAGGGTGCATATCAGATCAACCATGCATTAGACAAACACAAGCAAGAGAGCATGAGAGATCATCTGCCAATGAAGCAGCTACAGCTGAGCAGCCATCACGCTGAAAACACTGCAGCTTTTTAGAGACTTGCTCATTGGCACAGAATCCCATCTTTCTAATCTATCCATGCTGCCTTTCTCTCTTTGTTTTCTTCCCCCTAACAATTCTAGCAGGTATCTTCCTCAGCCTCATTTAAATCTATTGTCTTTGATTTGGTGGTTGGCTTATAGATAGAGTTCATTGTTGCTGGAGAGGCAGCCACCCTAGTAGGCTACCACCAGACTAGTAATTGGTGATACCACAAGTGTCACAGTGCTTTATTAATCTTCCTTTAGGATTCAGTGCAAGGTTAATTACAGGACATGAAGCATGGGCATTTAAAAGAGCTCTAATCCTAGGATGGAGATAATTTCCTGAGTAGTGGGACATTTTCTTTCTCCTCTGGAGCAAATGATAGAAGTCTCTGATAAGAGCACAGCTTAGACTGCTTCAGGGCTCATCGACTCAGTTCTGTGGCTACTGGAACTGTAAATTTGGAAAGAATGGGTAGCTGAGGAGAATAAAAATGGGCATAAATTTGAAGTGACTGTTAGAGAGTTAGGAACGACAGTCCTGGAAGACCAAAATGCATATTTTTGCCATAGGTCTGTATGAGAAGATCAGTGAACTTCCTGAAAGATTAATGGGATGTATAGAAGCAAAATGTTCACTAATTAGCACATTTTATTTTATTTCTTTTGCGGGAAAAGGTGATGTCTGTTTGCTTTTACCTTTTGAAGGCGAACACAGGTAGTGCTTTTAATCACCAGAGAAAGTTCTCGTTAGAGATAACTTCTTTGTGTCTGTGATTTCTCTTTATGATGACATTTAAGGAAAAGGCGGTGCAAAGACTGTCATAGTGAATCAAAGGAGCAGGTATTTCAGACTAAGTGAAGTGAAAATCCTGTATCTACTTCTGCAAGGATAGCAAAAACGCTGCTGCGGGTGCATGTGAAGGCACAATACCTGTGACATAACTAAGTGATAGCTAAAAAAACAAGCAAGCAAACAAGCAAGCAAAAGGCTGTGTAAACTTCTTCCACAATGTGTGAAGTTGTTTCTCTTGTCAGGACCTTTTCTGACAGAAAGGCACATGACCATCACTTGGGCTGAGCATGGGAAGAAGTGCAAAGGAGGAAGTTACAAGATGCTTTACATAATGGCCATTTTTTTTCTTTTCCAGTATGTAACAACTCAAGACAAGGAAAAATTTTATCAAGTTTGCAGTGTTTTGGTGGGGATGGACTCCACTGATTGCACAGGGGGTCTGGTGGCACAGGCAGCAGGTGTGCCAGGAACAGCTCTCATAACTGGAATTACATTTACTTTTTCCATACAAACCCATTTTAATTTTTATTCATTGCTTTCACATTTCATGTTTTGTCAAGTCTGTGCAGTATTGTCGTAAAAACCCACAATCTTACTAAGCTCTGTTTATGTGACAACTACTTTAGGCACACTGTTAGCCTTTAAAATGACTGTTAGAACACCTAGCCTTTATCCATTGCTAGTGGTTCCTTGTTCCTGCTTAGTGTGGTGTAAAATATAATTTCAATCATAGAGTCACAGAATCATATAGGTTGGAAAAGACTCTTAAGATCAAATGAAACACTACCAAGTCTACCACTAAATCATGTCCCTAAGTGCCACATCTACACTTCTTTTATATATCTCCAGGGATGGTGGTTCAACCACTTCCCTGAGAAGCCTGTTCTAATGTATGGTAACCCCCTCAGCGTAGAAATTTTTCCTAATATTCAATCTAATCCTCCTCTAATGCGACTTGAGGCTGTTGCCTCTCATCCTGTCATTATGTGCCAGAAAATACATTTTGTGTTAGAAAATATCAGGCAACCCTGTCACCATCCAGGAAGTTATTCACATGCCAGTGACTGGTCAATACTTCAATAAAGACAGTTAAGTGCTTGTTGTACTCATATTAAGTTTTTTATTGCACTTGTATTAAGCACAAAGGTCGGGCTGAGTATAGTGTGACTACATAATGTCAGCATAGTTTCACAATCCATTTTCTTCAGCCTTAGCATAGCTGGTTTAGCTCTCTATCCCACACTGATCCTACAACCCACAGCACCACCTCATCAGCTGTGGGAACACCATAATTTCTGAGGCTGTAACAGTGAAGTGTTTTCTTCAGCATCTAGTGCTGGCTTATGATCTCCCCTCCCATTGCTGCTCGTTCCTCCCCATACAGCAAATTGTGAAGTCTCCTCAGTTTTGCAAATATGGATGGTAGGTGAGAAAAATTCTGGGACAGGAAATAAAGGCAAGTGAACAGCTGACCTTTTTCCAAGAGAGGTATGAGAAACGGTAGGAGTAATAGCTCTGTTTCCTTCTGTCTCCTTGAAAGCCTGAGATGTGTGGGTGTCAAGGATCCCTCAAGGTGCCTCCATTTTAGGTCTAGAAGAAGTGTTATTTGCAGAATATCTGACAAGGGCTTAAAAGATTGCTACATCCTCCTCACAGCTGGGGTGATGTGTAGCAGAAGAGGTTTCTTCCGTGTCCATCTACTCATCTGGCCGAGGGTGGCCTCGAGTCTGAAGCATTAAGGTGCAGAACTACCTGGCACAGGGACACTGGATAGGAGACAGAGAAAGGAGGGTGGAAAAAGTTGCAGTCTCCATCCTGCTTTTGCAGCACTTCAATTTTTTGACGTGCATACACATTTGCAAGAATAGAATAAAGCCTCTCAGCATAAATTAGGATTCCTCTACATGTACTAATTCAGAGTACTGTTTCTGAAACTTTCCACAGGGTAAACGCTTTGTGTTTTTTCAAAAGATGGGGAGAGAGCACAAGTCCCAACATGACGAGGAGGAGGAGGAGAATGCTTTTCCAGCGGCTGGGGCTGACAGATATAGCACAGCAATCGCACTTAAAACACAGCATAACAAAGTCAGGGCGGGCATCGCAGAGGGCACGACTGTTTATCACTTCGACCGGTGGCCACTGCCAAACCCGAGCCCTCGCCTCATCCGCTCTGCAAGTCCCAGCTCCTCCTCCTCCTCTTCCCGCGGCGCCTCTCAGGCACCGCCCGACAGCGACCTCCGCACCGCCCCCTCGCTGCCGGCATCCCGCCCCTTCCCGGCCGGGCGCAGGCGCCGCGGCGAGGCAGGGCACAGGGGAGCGGGGCGCGGTGGGGCAAGAGGAGCTGAGGTGGCCTATGCTCGGTTCCCCCCCTCCTCCCTCCCCGCCCTTTCCCCCAGCCGCCGCCGGGCGCCATGCGGGTGCCGCTGCTGCTGCTCCTGGCGCTCACAGCGCTGCTGGCGTCCCGCCGGAGCGCGGCCTCCCGCGGGGAGCAGCCGCCCGCAGGTAACGGGCGGGTGGCGGTGGGATGGGATGGGATGGCACGGGACGGGACGGGAGGGGCAGGCCGACCGACCGACCTCTGTGTGGTCTCCTGAGTGACGACGGGGCCGGCACCGTCCCGGAGCTCTCCGTGACCGAGCGCTGCCGGTTGGGCCGCCGGCCCGTGTCCTGCCGCCGGCCCGTGTCCTGCCGCCGGCCCGTGTCCTGCCGCCGGCCCGTGTCCTGCCGCCGGCCCGTGTCCTGCCGCCGGCCCGTGTCCTGCCGCCGGCCCGTGTCCTGCCGCCGCCCCCTGCGGGCGCCGGGGCGTGCGAGCAGCCGGGCGGCGCCGGGGGCGGGGGGAGCTGCGCCCCGCTTTGCTGAGCGTCGCCCCCCCGTTCCCCGGGGCGGTGCCGCGCTGTCCCGCCGGTGCCGGCCGAGCTGGCTCTCGGTTCAGCCTTACCGGAGAGGCCGTGTCGTGGCGCCCGCACCGGCCGCGCGGTGCTGGCATCAGCCCCTTGCTTCGGGAGTTTGGACGCCTTGTCCCGCAAAGCCTGAGCGGGGTGTGCGTCGAACAGCGCCATGCTCCGCTGTGCTTTGTAATTTCGCGTGTCCAAAGAGGCACAGAAGCTGGGAATTTCAGTGCGAAAATGGGGAGCACGGGACTGGGGAGTCCAGATAAGGCATCGGGCTCGTGGCAAAAAAAAAAAAAAAAAAAAAAAGGCAGGATCCATTTACCTAAGATGCTACGTGCAGTAGGCCACAGAAATGCTGGCTCTGTGCCCAGGCTCCTTGAATTCTGCAAATGGAGATTTCCTGAAGTTTTAGAGCCATGCCCACATGAAGTGACAGAACTTGATTACCTGTTGGGATGGGCCACACCATATGGAAGTCTACTTAAGTTTGTCTTATGTGGACTAGGAGCAGTAAAAATGGTAATCTGCCTGCTTTCTTGTCCCTTGATAGTTTACATCTTGACTATCTAATTTGTATGAGTTGGTGGCTGATTGTTAACATGTAAATCTTGCGAGGGAAACTCCCCTTTTTTCCACATTTGAGTAGTAAGGTGACTTGGTATGTTAAATTGTGTCTTCCGTGATCTGAATTAACTTCTTTTAATGGTGCGTTTTTATTGCTAGTAAAATATTCCACTTTTACATTGTATTAAGCATTTTTAAGGTAAAAACCATAATGCCAGTAAATCACTTCTAAAAAACCTGCTATAATCCAGCACAACGCATGAACAATTATCTCTGTGTAAGAGTACAGGCAGTGCTGTGATGTAGATGATGTAGCAAGCTTCCTAGGAGCAAAAAGCTCATCTTTCTGCCCATGAGTGTAGCAAACCGTCAGCTCAAAGGAGCAGAATATGCTTCTGAGTTAGGCTTTGAAAACAAGCATCATTTTCCTGGTGACTTGCGTATGACAGATTGAATCGCGGACTCCTGACTTGATGGACAGAAATCGCTTTAATGCCTGTGATCCAGGGGTTTTATCTCATTCACTTTCAGCTGGGAGTGGTTAAGCAAACTAAGACAGAAGACAGCTGCAAGTCACACATCCATCTCTCTCTCTCAGACTGGCTCATCATGCACACCACAGACACAGACCTTGGAGTTTCAAGTTACTGTTTTCATACGATTCACATGGTAAATCACAAACCAGAGTTTAGCTCTCCCTGGGCAGTAAATTATGGCTTAGAGAAAACAACACAAGGTCGTCTGAACATTCTTCAGGCCTTGCTCACGCTTGGCTGCTACACCTGCACTTGGGTTGGTCTCAGCCAGTATAATCATGCCCTTCAGAGACTTCATCATTTAAGTAAAAATTTAGGTTTTCAGTGAATAAAAACATCATGAAATGAATTCTAGTTAATACTACTGTGTATTAGTTGAATGAAAATGTTGGTTATATGTGTAGTGACCAATACAATGTTCTTACTTCATAATTATATTGATGCAAGCAGATTTGCTGATTTACAGTGGAAGAGTTGATGTACAAGGGGAAGTCTGAAGCATGTTTATGATGCTTTCACACACAGAATCACAGAATGGGTCAGGTTGGAAAGGACCACAGTGGATTATCTGGTCCAACTACCCTGCTCAAGCATGGTCATCCTAGAGCACGTGGCACAGGATTGTGTCCAGATGGTTCTTGAATATCTCCAATGAGAGAGACTCCACAGCCTTTCTGGGCAGTCTGCTCCAGTGCTTGGTCACTAGCACAGTAAAGAAGTTACTTATATGGAACTTCCTGTGCATCCGTTTCTGCCCGTTGGCTTTTGTCCTATTGCTGAGCACCACTGAGAAGAGCCTGGCTCCATCCTCTTGATACCCTCCCTTCAGATACTTGTGAACATTGATGAGGTTTCCTCTCAGTCATCTCTTCTTAAAGGGTGAAAAGATGCAGTCCCCTCAGCCTTTACTCATATGAGGGATACCCCGGTCCCTTGAACAGCTCTGTAACCTTCTGCTGGACCCACTCCAGGAACTCCATGACTCTCTTGTACTGGGGAGGCCAGAATTTCATTGGCAACAGTTGTATGATTTTTTTTTTTTTCTTAAGTCTTAGTAGGGCTTTCAATATTCCAGTAGTGTAATACTTACCTCAGTGCTGAGTGTATAATGGGGAAATGCCCAGTCATCCTGACATTCTGTTGTAGGACACCCTTTTCCTTGGACAAGCCAGACAACCTGGCAGCCGTTTCCTACAGCTGAGCATCTAATGTGTCTGCATTGATAGGGCTGTGAATCCTCAGTGAAGCTAGGCACTTGTTGATAGGAAATCTCAGTCTATATTTTAGTATTCTGCAAGAGGAGGTCTCTGGTCAAGACTGCAGTATTAGAAGCAGATTCGGATGCTGTGGTAGCAATTCAGGTGCTTTTTGCACATTGAAAGCCAGATTTCCAAGGACATGTGTAGTTCATTTGTGCAGCTGACTTCCCGTTATACTTAATAATCATGGTGGTCTTGATTTGTTCTTTTATGGTTCAGATTACTGCCAGTCATAGCCATTGTCTGTCCAACTGAAAACAAAAACAAATTAGATGGTAGAAAGTTATGTGTTTAGATATCATCGATTATAGTGACTTCTCATCTCTAATAAAAGTGAAGAATAGTTGTAAAATAGATAAAACTATATTTAGCTTCTACTATTACATTATTTTTTTTTTAGTATCCATTCTGTGCAACTTACTGTGGTTTTTTTAAGGTGGTGATCTGAGTCTGCCTCTCCTCTCCATACAACTTGTGGAGATTTTTATCATAAGCAATGCTTTTAGAAGCTCCATAGAAGAGCGTCAAACCTTTGAGCCCTGAGGAAATAAAATACTGTCATAAATAGAAGCTGTAAAAATGCTCTAAATACTATGTATAGTGTTTATTCCCAATTCTTATGAAATGATTTATGTTCGTTTCACTAAATATTTAAAAAAATAATAGCTTTAAATTTTACCCCTGGTCATTGTACTCCCTTCACTTGTAAATTAATTCCTTTTTGAATTTAGGATCTTTTGTGAACTTCTGGTAGAACCTTCTGCATAGAATTGCTGTTACATGCATTAATTTAAGCTCGTTTGTAGTAACTTTAAGTAAGTACCGTCAAGGTACAGGAGGGGCATTAAGAGAGTAATGTATGTCTTGTGTTTCTTTTGGAGGGATCAATAAAAGCAAGTGAAGGCAAACACATGCAAGCATTTCCATATACACTATGTGGCTTCTCCCACTTAGGAGAAGGCTGGGCAAATAGCAGGCACAACATTTCTTGAGCACTTTACTGCTTGGTGTGTACCAGTCGGCCGAGCTCCCCATCAAAGCCAGCTGACAGGCAGTCTACCTTCCAGCAGTCTAACTAGAGCAGGAATGGGCTGTTTAGTGCCTGGCCTGCCAGAAGTGCACACAGAATGGGTAGGGTGCGTGCTAACCCAGGTGTGCTACCTCAAAGGAGAACATGGCAGAGGGCAGAGCCCCTGCTCTGACAGCCCTTTTCCACTTCTTGCCATGGCAGGTGCTTTGTGCTCCTGTAGCCTGTGCTGAGGTCTGACCTCTTCCTGCTCAGATTCTGTCCTATGGTTCTGGGCAGCACTTCTGGCTCTCTTCTATCCCCAGATGGCTGTACTCTGCTTTAGTATAGACCAATTTTGTTTGATTCAGAACAGATTGAAGTGAGGATCTAAATGATTAGAGGACCATTTGTCATGGTATTAAGCCCAGCCAGCCACCAAGCCCCAAACAGCTGCTTGCTCAGTCAGCCACCAGAGGGAATGTGGAGAGAATCAGAAGGGTGAAAGTGAGGAAACTCATGGATTGAGATGAAGTCAGTTTAGTAGAGAAAGCAAAAGCTGTTCAGAACAAGGAATTAATTCACTGCTTCCCATGGGCAGATGGGTTTTCAGCCATCTCTAGGAGAGCAGGGCCCAGTCACACGTAATGTTTACTTGGGAAGGCAAACACTATCACTCCAAATGTGTCCCTCCCCTTCCTCCTTCTTCCCCCCACTTTATATACTGAGCATGATGTCATATGGTATGGAATATTCCTTTGGTCATTTGGGGTCAGCTGTCCTGGCTGTGTCTCTTCTCAACCTCCCATGCACCTCCAGCTGTCTTGCCAGTGTGGCAATATGAGAAGCAGAAAAGACCTTGGGTCCGTTTAAGCGCTGCTCAGCAATAACAAAAGTATCTCTGTCACATTACTGCGTTCAGCACAAATCAAGAACACAACCCTGTGCTACCACTGTGAAGAAATTTAGCTCTACCCCAAACTAAAACCAGCACATTCTACCCCGTATCCATAATACCATTTACCTCATGCCCAGGTCCCACACTAGTCAGTACAGCTTCATTAACCACCAGCACCCTTCTCATTCTTTGATATAATGCACAGATATCTTTCCCTTAGCCTGTGGACCACCCCTGCAAAATGTCCATAAACCTCATGTTGAACTCTTTTAGTCCATGACTTTTAGGCTCTGTTAGGATGGTCACTTGGTTCAGGAGAGGTGATGTGTTGCTTGGAATTAGTGGACA